AACAAGAACTCCAAGTTTGATTTTGCGCTTGAATTTTCAACTTCAATCCAACATAACATATTTTTGAAACAAAATCTTTTGCATTGACAATTTTTTTATGTTTGAGCCGAGTATTTTGCCTATGTAATTTCAGAAATGTCTAAAATTATGACTCGACTCCATAATATTTGGAAATAAGCTATCCGAAATTTACGACTTTAGGAAGCCCACCACATACAACACCATAATACAATTAGTTTCTTTGAGAGTTGCATGATTTAATAGTGATTTAATGATAGATTATCTTTTCATGTATCTTATTTTTGAGAATACAAATTGAAAACTAGAAATCTGTATTTTAAACAGTGGAGATTGTCTTAGTTATTTTAAGGGCGGGAATATGAGGTTCTTTGTAACTTCATTCTCTGATAAATTTTTCCAGTCAATGCCATCAAGTAATCCTGATGAATTAGACTGGTGTGAATGTGACCTAAGCAAAAAGTATCACTGGGGTTATAAAAATCCAAGACATTTGCTGGCTTCAAGGTTGTTTGCATTCACTTCTACATACATCCCTGAAATTGAAGAAGTCATCTATGATACCATAGCAAATGATACAAATATTACATCTGTGACAAATGAAACATTTCCAACAAATGCAACAATAACAGAACCAACAATAGCTGTTACAGAAGAATGGGATGTGCCTGTTGAATATGATGATCCTGTAGTTACTTATGCAGAAGATGTGAGTGCTTTTTTTATTATTTTCATGCTTTCTTAAAATTAATTGAATTGAATTTGAGGAAACTATAAAATATTACAGTTTCCAATGATACCAACCCCAGCACCAAGTAAACCAACAATTAAAAGTTCTCGACAAAATCCTCTTGCCATTGGTGGCATGATGGCAATGATTTTCGTATTTGTTGGGATACTGTTTTCCGCGAGGCAGAAAGACTTAAAAAGAGCCAAAACGGTGAATGAAAAGTTTATTCATTTGTAGCATTTTTTTTTCATGAGTCCTCATTTTGTTCAAGTAGATATCTATCTAAAAATTCATCATAAAAGATAGCCAAAAGAACTTTGGTGAAAGTGTTGTTGCTGTAAACTGTTTACCACTGAATTCATATGATATCTTTGGTCAGAAAATAGCATTAATTCACCAATGAATTTGATATTTTGTTACAAGTTTGTGGAATTAGCAAAATTGATACTCGTCCCAAATCCTGTGCCTTATAAAAAAAGCCTCCTAATCTGGGCTAACAATCACTATGAAAATGACTCCAAGTTGCAGAAATTTTTACTCTGAATCTTTATTAAATCAACGCTTGGTAATAAAATCTTTCGTGTATGCCGGCTTTTTTTAATTACCTATTGAGAATGCTTGGCCAACTTAATGCTCTTTGAGTTTTGTTGCTTAATTTGACTTCTCGACTCTGAAGAATTCAAAATTTCGACCCGGAAGTTTGTAATGGCACCACTAGTTCCAACGCCAATATCAATAGAATTATACCTATCTCTAGACTCTGACTTATCAATCTGAATGAGCACGGAAATAGCTTGTTATTACTGAATTATTGTTATATGATTGTTCAAAGAGCCATTGACACTTTATATTTATGTGGTATAAAACTGGTGCTAATAGTATATATATATAATAATAACACATTACACCCAAGCATTAATATGTTATTTTATTCTTGAAGCCTTTTTATATAGAAGTTTGTGATAATGTACCCTATGTGACATATCGATACTTACTAACAATATATACTGGTAATCGCATGAACGCGGCACCTTCATCTACAATTGTTGTCAAAATTTGTGGAACAGATCACCAAAGCATTGTACACATTCTGCAGGTGAGTTGCTTATAATATTTATGTTCCTTCGTGTTTTATCTTCATATTTGTTTTATTGAAAATTTTTGACTTATCTTGAACTTTATTAAAATCTGTTCGTCTATCACATGATTGCCATTCCTGATTGCAAAGTATATATTTAATCAAGTTATTTTCTGTATTCCATAAACCAGGGGTGTGCAACCTTCAATACAAGAGGGCCAGATACAGATACTGGGTAAAACCGTGGGCCGTACTTTTTTAACATATGCTTTCTAGTAGTTGCAGGCATGAAAATTTTGGGTATTGATCTTATGACATGCTTTGTTCGCTTCACACAAGCTAGCTGTTGGGGCATTGTAACGCCATAAGCATAGATAATAAATAGGATAGATTCATAATAAGCATAGATAGAATAGGCTTTGCAAAGTAAGGGGATTGGAATTACTCACGCGTACCAGATTGAACTATACAAAAAACTAGTTTTGCCGGCCGCACAATTCTCCCTCAGGGTCCGCATTTGTCCATAGGGCTGCAGGTTGCACACCCGGCCATAAACTATTAAGTATAATTAACTATTAAACATAATAAGAAGAGAAGAGGAGCTTCATAATCTTATTCTGTACCAAATTTTTTATACATTTTTGTTGGATGTGTATCATGTTAAAGTTTGTTGGCCCAAGAATAATTTTGTCGAGCATTATGCTGGGTTATTTTTAAGCCTAGCTTGAAATTCAAAAGTTCCAAAAGACTTGACATTGTAAATACAGTTAAAAATACTGTAGTAAGGAATAAAGGTGTATTTGAATCACCTGATGTACTTACTACCCTACTGTTCTTACTGGTGACACCAACCCAAAGTGTTATCCAAAACAAGTTTATCAAGTACCCTGCTGGGACACGTTTTTTTCTAGGATAAATATGAAATTCAAACCAAACAAACTTTAAATTTATTATTCTCTTTGAACCTTCTCTTGTTCTCATAAGAAACATGATGATAAAGAAAAACATCTGTGCCGAGGAAGTGCTGTAACGTTTCTAATGACTGGACTGAAAAATATTGGAGAAATAACTTCTGTCAAAATTTGGCAAGATGGACAGGGTAACAATCCGCAATGGTAGGTGGTCTAATACAGTGTTTCCCAATGTGTAGGTCGCGACCCAAAGTTGGATCGCCTTAAAATCCTGTCAGGACTTTTTTTTAACAAAAACATAAAAGATATTTACCTAGTCATGCTTTATTCCAAAACAGAAAAAAGGACTGCGAATCTTTTCTAAAACTTGGTTTTACGAAATTGGTTGTTAAATGTTATGTTAAAATACTTGTTTTGCATTAGTAATTAACTTGCTGTTATAATAGCACTACATGTCGTTTAGTATTGAGCATATTTTTGTGTTGCAAGTGTTTTTAATTTGGGTTATTGAAAAAGGTTGGGAATCACTTGTCTAAAAGTTAGTAGTGTTACACGAGAAAAAAAATACAGTGAAAATTTTTTTATTAGTGAAAGAAGTACCGTAATTGGAGCTTAGTTAATTAATTAGTGGAAAGATATGCTCTTCAGAATTCATGATTAGATACCATGTAATTCTGATGTTGTGTCCTCCCAATTCGGTGCTGGAATTTAGTGTCTTATATACAGGGTATATTTCTAGGTACATTAATAGACTTGTAGTTCGCGATTTTGAAACAAGTGAATGTTGGTTTTTCTTGGCAAACGATTGGCTGAATGATGAAGACCCATTTGAGGGACCAGAGGAACTTGAACTTTATCCTTCCTCCATGCGAGATCTTTTCTTACAAAAGCACTTATTCAGTATCAAGTTTTCATCATATATTAAAGAAAGGTTAGTTGTATGTTAAAGTCATAAGAGATGTTCAAATATTTCCAATTGGCAGCACTAGCTCTGGTTATAGGTACTTGATTACAGAGATCTTCAATATGTTAATGGCTGCATAATTTAGTTTAAGAAATGTTAGGTACTATGAATATGAAATTTATCAGTATTTGTTGATTGGTTTGGTCAAATCTTCATAAATGGGAGCTACATGAAAAATACATTTATAGTATAGTACAATGGAATAGTAATGGAAATCATGCCGTTCAAACAAGTCAATCAGGGGTTTAGTCCATTAACTTTTTAATATAAAACCAGTCTTGTCATTATGTGTTGCACCACTTTATAAATAGTTTCGTTGAACAAATTATAAACGATTAACCTGACAGTATCACTATCTGGCTCCAATATTTTATAAATTTCAACAGAATTTTAAATTATAAAACGTGGAGGGCTATCTGCCTATTTTAAATGTCTGATTAAGATTTGTACAGCTATGAAAGATGAGAAATATGGAGTAATTTCAGATACAGATCAACATGCAGTAATGATATCTGATACTCTTCTATATTTAACTGAATTTCCTTTCAACAGACACCTCTGGTATTCTCTTCTAGCCAACCGTCTTTGGTATCGCAATGATGTCACTCAAATGCAGCGTGTCGGTTGCTGCTTTCTTTATACTGCGATGACTGCAGTAACATCACTCATATTATACAACAGTTATGGTACTAATGATTTCCTTTCATTGCCAAATATTCTTGTGGGTAAGTAAGTTTTGCAATTACATGCATTTACTCTTGACTATATTTTCAGATGGCGAATACTTAAGTTGTTTTTTATATTTTAGGACTTGCTAGTGGTGCGGCATGCTTTCCATCCACATATCTTATATCCACCCTGTTCCGATCATCAAAAACACGTCGTATATATGGTAAAGATGATGATATTACAGCAACATCTTTAGATGAGCTTACACAAAAGTATTTGAGTCTGAAAAAAAGTTACGAAAATGAGCAAGTGGTACCAAAAACAAAAAAATCAAAAACTGGCCAGAAAAAAAGTAAAAAGTCTAAAAAGGACAAAGATAACTTGTTCACTGCTATAGTAACAAGTTTGACTTCCTCACAAGCAAGTGATGACAAAAAGACATCTAAAAAACATAAGACTGCTAAAAAGCCTCGTAAAAAAGATAAAGAGCGTTATTCAGTTGGAGGGATGTCAGATGAAAATAGACATTCAAAGTTGAATGAAAAAGAGGATGGCGTAGAACAACAAAATTTACCTGAAAAAAAAATAGAAAAGAAATCTAAAAAGTCGAAGAAAAAAGAAAAAGCATCAGAATCTGATATTGAGTCGAAAAGATAAAACTGATAAGAAAGATAAGGAGGCACCTGACTCTAAAGTGAAGAGGAAAAAAAATAAGTCAAAAAAAGATAAACCTGAGCCTTCAGGAAATCCAAGTGTTCTCAGGTATTCTACAGAAAGATTTATTTATATTCGAAAGTTCTTCTGTTCATACGCCTAATTTAAGACCAATCATCAGATTTATCGAGTGTATAGTGTGATTATAAGCTTGCCACTCGGGTAGCGAAAAAGATTATGTGAGTAGAATATGGTTTTTGTGGTGGAATTTACGTAAATACTGCTCATTTCTCTTAGAATCAAATCTATTGCATTGAAAACTACTTTTCCGAAGAAGTCTGAAGTGTGATGCCAGACCTTTAAACAACTAAATAGATAAGATATAATTTTTATCTTTGGGGTAGTGGGAAGATTATCGGACAGCTTATTCATGCTGCGTACCACAGCCTCTTGTCCAGTTACGACTCCATACCAGGTATGGGATTAGTTAGTCAGTTATTTGTTTCAGATGCATGGACTTGATGATGGAGGAAGTCGATAGCGACCAGCGGTAATATAATGTAGAGTAGATAGTCTTGCGTTTTTTTGTGAATAGTTAAGAAATTTCTTGCTGAAAAAGGTAAACATGTCAATTGTCAGTTGAGCAGTGATAGTTAAAGTTGAATTTTGTTTATTTAGGAATTTTGGAAATCATATGTTCATTTTTAATTAGTCATTGCAGAGATAATTTATTCCATATTATAAATTGTTTTCTCTGCAGTTTAGCTGCAGACAAATTGTTGGCTATAATGGCTGTTGATCCAGGTTCAATTGATAGCAAACCTCTACCATGGGTATGCCAGTATATAGCATGGATTCTAATTGGACTTGTTGGTGGAGGAAGCTGTGCAGGAGCCGTATTTTATGGAATGGATTTAGATAATAAAAGCTTACTAGGGTGGTCAGTAATCTATTTTTTTTTTACCTATATTGGTTATTGACAAATTACATTTATACAACTTGTTTCTACATAATTCCCCAGATGGTGTCGTCATAATAAGGGGCTCCCGAAGTATGCGAACCAAGATGGCGGACATCGGAATGTAATATGTGTACTAGGTTACGCTCAGGCCATAATTTTAGGTATAAATACTACGGGAGGCTCTTGGCTAGTCTTCGAACTGATAATAGCACTAAAATAAGGAAAATTGGAAAAAAATTATCGCCTAACCTGTTACCCATGTTACGTTCCGATGTCCGCCATCTTGGTTCGCATACTTCGGGAGCACCAATGAATCCCTTTTTCAATCTTTTTTAAATTCATTTCATGTCTAAGTAAAAAATGGTACCAATGTTTGAAAAGTTGCAGTTGATGTATTTTTTATTTTAAAACTTGGAAAGCATGTAATATACAATGTGTGTCGAAAGACCAAATGAGTTCTAATGGATGTTTTTCCCATCTTTGACACTGAAAAAATTCCTCCCATGCTCCACTATTGAACAATTTTTTATGTCGTTTTTGACAGTGTTTTCGTGACCTGCTGATCATAAGTTGGTGTACATGTTCTTCGCCATTATTTTGATTCTACATATTTAACCATCTGTCATTTATTGTAATTGTAGTGTAGTATATCGAATGTTCTTTGGGACTAATTTTAGCCATTGGAACTGACCTAAAACTCTTCCGACAAACAGAATGACCTTGAGGTATTTGATGTTCGAGTACTTGAAATTCGGGAGCACAACTACAAAGTTACAAATATCTTAAGCCAGAAAAACAAGAGTGGTCATAACCATGCCGAAAGTATGTCTAAGTGAAAAAGTGTCAGAGCGGCTCGTAAAATTTTGCCATCATTGTTATCTTGCCAAGGTTTCAGAGAGTTGTCAATGTGAAGTTAAAATGCTTTTTATGTTTTGTATTTAGGTTAATATCATTTTCATGTGGATTGCTTGAAAGCATATTTATTATCGAGACAATAAAAACCGTTTTACTGGCTTATCTTGATGTAGTTCTTAACGCACAGATGGATTTATCAGATTGGATACCCCCACTAAGAGCGGAAGGTAAAATTTTATATATCTTCGAGCAAAAAAAGATCTGGAGAATCTCAAAACAAGAATAGCACAAAAAGATGAACTTACTGTCTCTATCATTTCTTAACAAAACATCTTCAATCTTTTTGTGAATATGTATTTTTTCAAGTTTGTTGTTATAAATCATCGTTTGTTGGTAATTTGACTAAAATGAAGGATGAACTGTGTATGTCAGGAGGTTACCTGTTTCCTTGTCACGATCCACTATTGTTTACTGAAATATGATGCATTTTATTGGGTTTCTAATATTGATTTGCAGTTTTTTTCGATGGAGTATTCAACCTTGATTTAATACATTAATTTTACAGTTTCTCTCAAAGAACATGAGTTTCCACAAGAACGGTTGAGAGAAATTGTGGCAGAGCGAAAACAGCTTCAAATCTACAAAGGTCCAGTTTCGAGAGATGACATGTCATGAATATCAGGTTGTTGCCTAACTGCAGATTTATCAGTCTTTAATCAGATATTCATGTCAAAGAAACATATTTTATAAAGGCAAGATCTATACGCAGCACACAAGTAAAATTAGGACGGAACAGCGGGATTAAACTATATTATAGATACATAGCAGGAACCAGTTTCATGCAGCGCCTGTAGTGTTTTATAACAGGACGAATACAATGTGCTACTGTACATACAGTATTTGAGTCTGGACAAGACCGATAGAGTATAGTTTTAGGTAACAAATGAAAATTTCGCCGCTGCCAGGGTTTAGAAACGTGTCGAATATTGTGTGTCTTGACTGAAAAACGAACCTCCAATAACTTCTGCAGTACGCGAAAGTTATTGTCTCACTCCAATAATAGTGTGGTAAATTGATTTCGCAACAGTAGCAGTGATATCAGAATGCCCAATTTTTTTTAAGTCCAAGCGAGCGAAGAATCGAACTTGGAGGAAATTGTAAATTAGGTACTGAAATTTGAGCAGTCATGTAACATTTATGGTTTGAGAATATTTATTTTTTGCTGTTTAAATAATATGGATACTAGGCACGGTTTTTAGAGATTTTTTCAACCATTACGACTAAAAGTTAGGCAGGCTGTAGATCTGAATTTCCGTATATTTCGAACAAATCTCAAATAAATGATGAAAATTTACTCCGGATACAATTACAAAATCAAATTAACAAATTGAATGGAACATAAAAAATACAAGATTTTGTGGCGATTTCATTAAAAATGCGACAACGGTGCCGAGCTTATTGGCAGCGGTAGAATGTTTCGTATGCGTGTATGCAGTTATTTGCATATTTATTCAGTACTCATTCTTTTTCGTGTATAACCTTATTACTAATCAGTCGATCGCGAGCTATTTTGAAGATTTTAGTCGATCGCGGTCAAAAGCAGGTTGGCCACCCCTGATATATAGGATATAAATTTTATATTATACCTTGTAAAAAAATGGTGGTGCCTGTTTGATGGATTTACTGTTTATTGTTCGTAATTTCAGAGGAAAATGCTAAATCACTGTGCGGCAATCAATAGCTGTGACATGATTGGGAACATTAAAACTATGTTCCGGTTTGAAGCTGCTCTAGGTAACTGTTAAACACTTATTTATGCCTGGGTGGATGTCAGGCCTATTTTAATACTCACGTGGGTGTTGGTTTTTCACATAGCATGTCTAATACTTATTCTATGTTTTATGTTATGTATGGGTTATATTATCAAATATATATTTTTATTTTGTTAATTGTTGGCCTTGAAATTAAATTGCATCTTGTAGTGCTATCATAGGTCTAGGTCGGTTCGAGGATAAAACTTCTCAACCGAAGAGATGAAAGTTGACAAAACAATAGCTCTTCAAAAATTGAAATATATATTTCTTGTGCTGAATTATTGATTGTATACGTCGACTAAGTTGAGTTTTTGTGAAGAAATTCTAAGAGATCATTGAACGTTCTCAAACGCTATTGAAGTTACTTGCTGTTATAGCCTACTGCTAAACCATGCCATAAACACTCAGGCGGCGTGGCGTGTGTTTGCAGGTTTGAATCACGTTGGGATAATTATCTCTGAGAGGCTTGCTGGACTCCTCGCCGCCGTGGAGTGGTCCACGTAACCAATGGTCGGTTAGGCCTTTCTTCATTCATTTCATGCACCTGAAACAAGTAACAGGGAAACTAATCGCATACCCGACATGGACTGGTAACCGGGCGAGAGGCTGTGGTTCGCTATCTGATTAGTAGTCTTATCGGCTTACCCCTCCCCCGGGACATATATTGTATGTAAATCCCGTTATTCGAACATCGTTCTCACAGCATGGTTTCGAAATCTAAATACAGTTCATGAACGTGCACCTTAATCAACACAGTAACTCTATCAGTTCTTTATTTGTAGTACAAACTTTACTGGCAAAGAGATTACTTTTATGATATCTTTTTGTATTTATTGAAAAGATCGTCTTAGGAGTAGATATCGGAGATGTTATTCGATTGCAGTTATGGTCATTTTCCGCGTGACTTACTTTTTCTACGACCTTGCGAATTATTAAAAATGAAGGACGACAAATCATGCACAACTGTATAAATTTGACCTATGAAAGAATGAATATTTTTTTCACTTCGGAAAGCTTTTTGAGATGTCATCAGCTCGATGAGATTCTGGAGTCTCATGTTTGCATGATCATAATAGCGCGCTTGGATAAGCTAGGCCTACTACGTTCAGTGGAACTATCTTAACAGCAAAATGAGGCAAATGCGGTTTAGTTTGCAAAAGTCTCTCCGTACCGAGGAAAAATTCAAGTAGTGTGTTTTTACGTCATAAAGCATCCTAGTCATTAGTTTGCAAACACAAATGTTAATTTTCGAGGTCATCGCGTGAGTACACTTGTTTGTACGTGTTTGCAAATACAACTATACTTGATAATAGTTCTTGCAGCAATGAATGCAGGGGTATATTTGGGCCGACAGGGTGAGATTGCAAAGTTTGATGCTTTTACAACACGTATATATATCTAATATTTTCACCAAGTCGGCAATCTACTTGTTATATATATCAATTATAAAGCGAGATTGACTAATATTCGACTAATCTTCGATGATTTTTCTGCATCTCATAAGTAAGTTGTGGTAACATGGATCCCCGAGTAGGATGGACAGGTAAAACAAATCCCCGTAAAGCGTTTTGCCTGGTAGATTGACATTGTGTGAACAACTTCATCGAAAACTTGACGGAGACGTAGGCTACTGGTTGGGGAAATTTTCTGGAATTTATTTCAAGTCAGAGATAAGATTCCGAAGCATGCTTGGGATTCTGCCAAAGTTATTAATGCTCATGTAATTGGGATGGAGTTGATAAATTTTCCCAATCATCCGGTATTGATTTTTATAATAGAATAAAAATGTTCGATTTCGATTTCTTTTCACACTCGTTTGAACATACGTTCCGGGTAAGCTTGGACAATGCATTTTGTGTCAATATTTTACAGAATAAAAATTCTGTTTCTACTCATTCAGTGCTAATTCGTTTTACAGCTAAAACGACTTTTGTTGCTGCTGACTAATTAAACTAGATTATCTATTTATTAGACTCTTAAATCTGAACGTAAAACAATATGTTAATAAGAGGTTTAGCATTGCTTATCTGGGATGGCATGGTAATTTTATATTACAGCTAAAGCTGAAAAACTCTTGATATTTTATTGCCCCGTTTAATACAACATATAATATATATGATTAATTTCAACTATACGATAAAAACATATATGCACAAAATTATACATTTCAGCTCAGGTCAAAATTTTCCTAATAAACAAACAGCATACGTTGCTAGAATATTTAATCTGGTCAATCAAATCTCAACTCTTATTGCTAATTTTGGCTTAGATAAATCTATAAGCGTTTAGAATATTCCAACACGGATAAGATTTTTTTCCTTATTTCTTACTCTTATTAGAAGAAGTGTAGGTCTCGATCAATTGAGTACTTGTTCATTCCGTTTTCAATAAGAGCAATTTAGATCGAGTGAGGATGTTGTATACTTCCGGTTTATAAAAAAATATTGTAAAGGTGATGATGTTTTTGGGACCGATTTTACATGCAAATATTGTGAACATAATTTGATGACCTATTTCACGTGAAAACTATTGTAAAATTCGTCGAATTGAAGTAAATATAAGATAAATTTGGTTATATAATCATTCAGCTTTATTGAAACTGGTTGATACAGAGACTCATCGTTTTTAACATTGACATCACCTCTTTATAGGAGTTTAATGAGGCGCTCTTTGAAGGCGCAGGAAAATATGAGAACACCGGGAAAGAATTTCTGAGAAATACATAGAAATGTACGGACCCAACATCACAGACTATACGGAAAAGTATTTGAAATATAAATGACCGACATTTGGTTTGGATGTCCATCAAGAGCGCTGGTACGGTGACATGAGAAATAAACAAGAGCATAAATGTAGCTTACACCAAAGCAGTTTTCAATAAAGTTTTTTTTTGACAAGAAAACTAGAATTATATACAGGAGACAATTTCCTATCTGCGTGAATCCAATGTATAATCAACTATTTCCACGGCAGCGTTGTCGTTAAACACGATTCTGCGAATCTATTAAGCAGTTTTCAAATTATTTGTATGTAACCCTTCCCCTTGTCTACCATTTCTACAAACTGCAAATTTCATTCACTCGTTGATATTCGAAACGATGGAAAAAAGATTATGAGAATATACTCAATAAACAAAGTGCTATTTTCTATTCTTAGGCTACTTTCTCCTGATAGTTACGTTTCGAGGACGACGGAAGAATCTGTCTATTTCTACATCTTCAGTCACGCGCTTGACGGCAATAATTGTAAAGAACTTCTTGGAAACTTCTGCAGACATTCGTACCCCGGGCACAAACTATTCTTTGTGTTTAGAACCATGAAACATAGCGGGTTAGATTTGGTCTAATTTATTCAATTTAAGACGCATGCTATTAGAACAGACAATCGCCTCAATGGCGTTTTCTTTCTAACTTGTACATTGTACTTAAAATAATACGTATAATGTTTTAGTTTAACCTGTTCTGAGCGACAGGGTGCATTAGCGCAATTTCAGACGCTGTGTGTAAACCATGAGGTCTGGAATGTTTGTTATGGTCTTGTTTGGAAGAATAGCTCATTTCCTACCCAGCAATATAAGAATGAACGTTATATGACATTTGGAAGTAATAAAATATCGCTTACATTTCACGAGTGTACTTCCCGCTGCGATAGAAAAACGTCGCACAGCAAGAAAATAATTCAATAAACCTTGGCGTTGCGCGCTAACCAATAACAAAAGCTAGTATGATAAGGTCTTATTTTGAAGGTCCTTTTATATGCTACATAACATAGGAGAGTGGACATCTCACAACGTCAGGAAGGTATGAAAATATCGAGTCGTTTGATCGCAGCTGCCTCCCGAAAAAAAGTTAGTTCACATAGGCGTTTTATCTCGCAAATTCTCCTTGTCTCACGATTATAAGCTTTTATGATCATAATAAATGTTTTATTATGACTCACAAAAGCTTTCAACGCGATAAAGCACAAACAAACAAACCGATCGATCTATCAAGGCCTAAGCCTGGCCTGATTCGATGTGGTGACTTCTCAAACGGAAAATTTTCAAAAACGCTTCAACGACACGAAGCTAACGAAAAGCGTTTAGTATCATATGAAAGAGAAAACCAATGTGCAGTCACTGTATAGTCACATTTGCGCTTTTCAATAGCTATACACGTCCAACAGATGATAGAAATGAGAGAGTGTAATATTTTTTGTTATTTTTTGACGTCACGAGAGACCTCTTGAAAGAGGTGTTTTAGTTTACGGTCCTCCAGTGACATCTAGCGTATAGTACTCTAAAAGACCTTTCCAATGTATATAAATTATTGTATATTGGGTAAATTTTGGGGGTCGTATGACATTAATAAAAATGTATTCAAAATTGGGCTCGATTGGGCGTCTGAATCAGGTTAAAGTGAACAACTAAATTTACAAAGTATACTATTTTACGCAGTATATTAATAACATGAAATATTTGCGTGATACCTACCAAGAAATAACTCGATTGTAATTCGTTTCCGCTTTGCAGAACAGAATTTACACTGGAGTTTAAACAAGCTTAATTAAGGTTTGAAAACTATTTACATCTTATTGAAACAATACCTGATCATTAATGTAGAGTCTGGGAAAAAGTCTTATTCAATAGACTGTTAGGAATGCATATTCAATTCAATCTATTTTCAGTTTCTGTAGAAAATTATGACATTGATTATCACCATGAAAAGGTACACTTCAATTTTAAATGCTTTTCGTCGATATTTACAACCTAGTGTTCATCTTGATTTATTTTCTAGGTTCATTCCAGCTGAC